GTGTGTGTGTGTGTGTGTGTGTGTGTGTGTGCGCGCGCGCGCGCGCGCGCGTCAGTGTTATTGCTGTCTGAGTGCGTCTGTGTAAGTCAATATCAATTGTCCGTCCCCAGCATGCCCAAAAGCACGGTGCGTTTAGCCTTCTGTAGAAATCAACTTTAGCGTGTGAAAACAGCCAATTTTTTATCGATAATTTTGTAATTTATTATGATGAATAGCAGATGTGGTAACAATTAAAAACTGAAATTTCGTGAATATAACTGCGACAAACGACTATAGGCTTTAGAACAAGCGACGTTTTCTGATAAAATTTTAATACGAAATATAGTACAATACTCTTTCTTACACGAACAATTTGCTAATAAAAACTAAATGCGAACAACGTTTTATACGATTTACAAGAGTGCACAGTCCGCAATATTATGCTTTGTCTAAAATTGCTATCGTAGCTGCAAGCATATTTAATTTAAACTGCACGTCAGATTGCGTGCGAATTCCTTTACACGTGTCTGTTACAACAACTATAGATGAATAACGTACTACGCAGTGATCATATAAACTGATGGCTAACCTCTACAATTATGCGTTCAATCTGCTTCGGGCTTCTGTGATATTGACTCTAAATTCCTTAACTATTTGCAGAAGAAAGAACTATGGCGCGAGAATTAATGCGATAGGTGACGTACATAACCCGTTCACGAAACAGCCAGCTATACAACACGAATCGACTTCACAACAATAGAAAAAAAGAGAGATCGAGATTCTCATGACAAACGTTATAAGGGGCGGATGAAGTTACACGTTCCATTTAACATTTCTATTATTATATATTAAGCACCTCTTACGCTACTGATCTCTTTTCGTCGGTCGTTCATAGTCATTTCTGTTAAAGAAACAATAGTAACAATAAGCGACAGAACAAGGAGGGAAAAATAGGGGAGGGCATATATATATATATATATATATATATATATATATATATATATATATATATATATATATATATTATATAGTAAGAGAGAGAGAGACAGAGCGGCGCGCTAAAAGAAAAGAAAAACTTTAAAGGAGGCTGGGTGACGGATAAAGTGAGGGAGAAGAAATTCGGGAAGGCGAAAATGGAGAGAAAAAAAGCAGAACAAACAATACACAAACGTACGAATGCACGCTAAACAGTCTCAGAGATTATTTCCACTCCCAGAGCAACGCTATCAACGTCATCAGCTTCTAACAACATACATAGAGAGACAGCATGCAACGTCTCAGACAAAACTTCCGTGAGCATCACCCTTCTACATGTGTATCTGTCGCAAACCCCAACAACGTAGCATTACATGTTACATGTTCACACGGCGCACGCAGCAGCACAGACATCGCACAAGCAATCTTTAACAACGAGAGACAACATCGTAAAATATCATCACATTAGACATACGAACACCAATCGATGGTAACACGTAATGACGTAAGCTAATGATTAATCAACATCGAAATCATAACAACACATCGTAGCATTTAAACGGAAACGCAAATAAATAACAGTCAAATGAGGTGACAGTTTTATCGCAACAAGGTTCTACCAATGCATCCAGTGGCGGAGAGAAGGGCTACACAGGTAGAGCTAATAACAACAAGGCACTACCTGTGCAGCCTGTCGCAGAGCAAAGGGTGACATAGGTAGAGTGATAGCGACTGTGGCGGGGCATGAAATGTGAAAGCTGGATGAGAAGGTGGACTGTGTCTACATAGTCAGCCAGCACGCTGCACGCTAGACTCACAGTATAGGCGTGAATATATGAAATAACAAACTAACACCAGGAATACATGATAAACATATGGTTACTACGAAGATGCACACGAAATATAGTTGATGCGCACTTGTTATTATGTATTCCTGCGAATATACGAATAACCAAGACCTGTATACATACGATAATAACACTGCATTACACTCAAACCTGTAATATCACGAAAACCCCCCAAAAGTGTCCTGTATAGCCAGGTGGCCGTTCTATAGAGGCAATTCTACTGTATAACTGTCACAGAATCCCCTAAGTGTCCGTTATATGCAGGTGTCTACTCTATGCAACCGGTTTCGATCCCAAAAGCAAAAGCGTCCTTTACAGATAAACGTATGTTACATATCTATAGGTAGCTTCACTGATGAACTGCGATTCAAGGGCAAGCCAGTGTCCTTTATAGACAGGTGTTTTATTTTATAGATGTGTCAACTAACACAGGTTTGACCGCATGTCAGAATCCTGCTTAAGGTGCGCACTCCACGCATCGAGCGCACGTGACAACACAGCCAGCCACCGACACGGCGAATACATGAAACTACCGCGCCGCAAAGTCACTTAGTGTTCGATATATTCAGAAGTAGATCACCTCCCGATGGTTCCCTATTATCGACGTCTGATATATTGCAAGTGATTGATTCGTTAATGACAATTTAACTACCATCGGAGTTTCACGCGACGAAAAATTAACGCAAAGAAACTCTGCCGTCGCTACATAGCTATACATTCCCATGACGTCGCAGTATACCGCCCCTAACCTACCTACATAAAGACGTGCCACTCAAAAGGCAAAGGAATAAATGTTAAAGCACCTTGGAACTCTAACGCGCGCTCCCTCAACCATGCTCCGCAACAATGGCACTCACCTAACGTTGTTCCACAAGCAGCAAACACTAGACAACACACTGCACACGTACGTAACATACAATAACGCAAACTCGTGCATAGTGGTGTGGGGGGTAGGGGAAGGGTGGTGGGTGGGAGGAGGAATTCGTGATATGCATTATACATCACCCCGGTTACAGCAACTGCGACACGACTCTCTTGATTCCGTATAAAATAGCACGTACACACTGGCTGTCTCACATACAGGCACAATATAACGTCGCCAGTGCACTATGAACATGTATTTATATAGTACAAACATACGCACACACACGTGCACGTGCGTGCATATGCATATAAATGTGTATGTACATATAAATGTGTATAAAAGTGTGCAGTTTATTTATGCAACTCGCTGTACTCGCCTTTCCCAGTCGTAAGCTTATAGGTTACGGCTGTGCAAAACTCAAGCAAAATCAACTCAAATCATTGCAAAAGATTACCAACTCACCGTCCTGGACATCATCTCTATCTTTGAACTAGAATGGCCACAGACAACGCAGTGAACTATCAATATATCATCACAGACACTTGGAGCGTTTTAATAAAATATAATGCTAAATACATACGAAATCTATTTACTACCAGTCCTAATGTTTCTATACTCTCTTTCGCCTATTATTGCCAAGAATTTCCTGCAAATGCTCATCTCCAACAAACGCTGGCTGCTGCTGCACACTGACACATAAATATATAGCAGGTAGGAAAGCGTGCTGCCAAAATTCGCTCGACGCTCGCTTGATTTCACACAAATACAACACAAATATTCAACTATTCTACTCCATCTTTGTTTCTATTTGAAGAACAGTGTTCACTTGTTATAAAAAAACATACTGTCTGTGTTCGAAACCAAGCTGTGTCACGCGAAACCACACAAAGCCTGACTAAATTCTCGCGTTCGCTTCTCTTGCGCAGTTTATGTAAATGGCTGCAAGTACAGGGTAGGTATAGGCGGCGCACTGCATTTTAGGAAACTACCACGCTGCTTTCCAACTCCCGTGTGAGCCCCGTCAAAGCCGCCAGTGGAGCGCCGCAAAAACGTTGCAGCGCAAAAACGAGGTCACGAAGAGCGCCGTTGGCCATTTTCCTGATTCCGACAGCCATTTACATAAACTGCGCAACAGGAGCGAACGCAAGAATTTCGTCAGACTTTGTGTGATATTGCGTGACACAGCTCGGGCACGAACACAGACAGTATGTTTTTACACCAAGTGAACACTGTTCTTCAAATAGAAACAAAGATGGAGTAGAATGATTGAATATTTGTGTTGAATTCGTATGAAATCAAGCGAGCGTAGAGCGAATTTTGGCAGAACGCTTTCCTACCTGCTATATATTTATGTGTCAGTGTGCAGCGGCAGCCAGCGTTTGTTGGAGATGAGCATTTGGACGGCATTGGCAGGAAATTGTCGGCAATAATAGGCGAAAGAGAGTATAGAAACATTAAGACTGGTAGTAAATAGATTTCGTATTTATTTAGCATTATATTTTATTGAAACGCTCCAAGTTGTTTCGGCTAAAAGGCTAACTACCTGGCTTTACCAAAGCTAGGTCACAACCCACGGCTAGCTATAGCCCTGGACGTTTATTCCTTACGGACTGTCCAGTATAGAAGTACAAGTAGAAGTACAACTACGACACAAGTACTACTACTAGAGAAGTGCCTGTGACTATCAATATCATTAACTATTACTACTACTCAGTACTAGTAGTATTACTATATATGGAGAAGTTTCAACGTTACGTTACTTCCTTCACAAACAAAGCTATTGAAAATTACGCTATTAGATATGCGCATTTAAAGCATTACTTTACTGTATGAGTAAAATACGGACCAAAGTAGCATAATTTAAAAGATAGGGCGAATCTAATAAATGTTTACGTGATCATGGAGCTAAAATGGCGGCGCCCATGCCCGAGAAGCAAGCATGAAAATATTGGGAAACATCGCCACAGCATTAACAGGAGGTTAGACGAAATGTACTAAATACAATAATAAGACAGAAAACACGTTCATACTTGACACCGTTCGACTACCCAACTTTAGCTTAACGTATTTTACATAGTATAATGGTTAAACGCCTGAAAACTTACTGGCATCTTTCGTCTATCGCTGCCAACACGGAAAAGGATTTACACGGGGACTCACAAGTAACGCCACGGGTCGATTGCGCCGGTATGGTGCAATCACATGGTGCAACACATATGTGTTGTCTATCTATGGTGCAATTTTATTGTATTTTGCTGTTTAAGTTATTTTACCTATATATAACTAGATATATACATAACTGCCAATTCAATGTTCAATAATCCTACAATAAAGATAATTTTTCAATAATATATTGCGTTGAATAATCACGAGTCCGACGACCATCGTCAGCGTTGTCGCCTATGGTGCCACGTTTTTACTTGCCACAAGTTACCTTCTCGCTTCTCAGTTCTCACTACGTGAAACAATCGCAGAACCTGGCCGGGCTACTTTTCTACAGAGGACGGCTTTATCGGGCTGTAAAAGTAGCGTATGTAAAAACGTAGAATATAGTATACGTACAGGCCCGTAGCCAGGGGGGATTCGGGGGCGTGATCGAACGAACCCCCCCGAGCCTCCCCCAAAGCCAAAAAATATTTTTTTTTGAGAAATTTGCAAGAATTTCACCTCAGGTCGCTCCATGTTAGTGTAATAATTGCAAAATCTCCATCGCGTGCGGGAGGGTGAACACCCCCCTCCCACACCCTCCCCCCGCTCGGTCGCTTGGCTCCCTCGCCTGGTCGCTTTCGCGCCGAGCAGGGGCGTGTACAGGGGGGTCCAGGGAGTCCGGACCCCCCCCGCCTTGCTCGCGCAGGAAAACGCATCTGAGGGGTGTAATTTTAAAAATTTCCTGGGGAGGGCCCCCCAGACCCCCCTTCGCGTGCTCGCCAACTTTGGGTTAGGGTTAGACCCCCCCCCTGCGGTACAAATCCTGTACACGCCCCTGCCAGCAAATTGCCAACATTGGAAAACTAACCCCCCCAATATAAAGCTGGCTACGGGCCTGTACGTAGAAACGTAGGGAGTCTATAGGGACGGTTGGTGATGCGTGGAGGCAGAAAATAGGAGAAGCATTATAATTAGCGGATTTATGGGAGGGGGACTCGGCTCTGCCAGACTGCCACCACCATTCTGAGCGAAAAATGAGAGAGGAGACGGGGATAGGGAAAGAGAGAATACAAAATACCAGATGAGACTATAATAACACGTGTTATAGACTAGTATAGCTAAATACGCACACTGCATGTTTTTCAACGGGAAATAAACTAGATAAAATAAAACGTAAAAAAATCATTTCTCAAACCAGCAGACGACCAAACAGGCAAACATGTTGGCGCACTTGGTAATTCAGTCTGTCCTTATATCAATATTTATAATAAAAATGTTATTGTTTGTTCGTTAATCATAATTGCATAAGTATGAATTTGTACAAGTAGGCCTAGTTGCAGTTTTCAAACTACAGTTCTGTGCTCCCGACCTGACATCTGCAGAATGCGGTAACGCAGTATATGCAGTATGCGCGACATTTTAGAATCTATATCCGTTTGTGTGGTACAAATTTCTTTGTTTTAAACAAGTATATATTTGTAATAACACGCTGGATATAACAAATTAAATAACAATAATTACGCGCGGGTGTGGGCGCGCATGCGTCTGTGTGAGTGAGTGTATTGCGGCTTTAACCTCCCCCCGCGGCCACACTTTGTAAAAACCAACTACTTGTCGTCCACGCCATCATTAGGAAACCTTTGATCCGCCGCATTTATTACACTTTTATGCGTGTAATAAATGTAGATATTGTGTGTGTGTTGTGTGTGATGTGGTGTGTGTGTGTGTGTGTGCTGTGTGTGTTGTGTGTGTGTTGTGTGCTGTGTCGTGTGTGTGTGTGTGTGTGTGTGTGTGTGTGTGTGTGGTGTGTGTGTGTCGTGTGCGCGCGCGCGCCGCCCGCGCGCGTCAGTGCTTATTGTGCTATGAGCTGCGTCTGCATAAGTCAATATCCATTGTCCGTCCCCAGCATCCCAAAAGCACGGTGCGTTTAGCCCTTCTGTAGAAATCAACTTTAGCGTGTGAAAACAGCCAATTTTTTATCGATAATTTTGTAATTTATTGAGATGAATAGCAGATGTCGGTAACAATTAAAAACTGAAATTTCGTGAATATAACGTGCGACAAACGACTATAGGCTTTAGAACAAGCGACGTTTTCTGATAAAATTTTAATACGAAATATAGCTACAATACTTTCTTACAGAACAATTTGCTAATAAAAACTAAACTGCGAACAACGTGTTTATACGATTTACAAGAGTGCACAGTCCGCAATATTATGCTTTGTCTAAAATTGCTATCGTAGCTGCAAGCGATATTTATTTAAACTGCACGTCAGATTGCGGCGAATTCCTTTACACGTGTCTGTTACAACAACTATAGATGAATAACCTACTACGCACGTGATTCATATAAAACTGATGGCTAACCTCTACAATTATGCGTTCAATCTGCTTCGGGCTTCTGTGATATTGACTCTAAATTCCTTAACTATTTGCAGAAGAAAGGAACTATGGGCCGAGAATTAATGCGATAGGTGACGTACATAACCCGTCACGAAACAGCCAGCCTATACAACACGAATCGACTTCACAACAATAGAAAAAAAGAGAATCGAGATTCTCATGACAAAGCTTATAAGGTCGCGATGAAGTTACACGTTCCATTTAACATTTCTATTATTATATTATTAAGCACCTCTTACGCCTACTGATCTCTTTTCGTCGTGTCGTTCATAGTCATTTCTGTTAAGAAACAATAGTAACAATAAGGCACAGAACAAGGAGGGAAAATAGGGGAGGGGCATATATATATAATATATTATATATATATAATATATATATATATTATATATATATATTATATAGTAAGAGAAGCAGAGACAGAGCGGCGCGCTAAAGAGAAAAAGAAAAACTTTAAAGGAGGCTGGGTGCGGATAAAGTGAGGGAGAAAGAAATTCCGGGAAGGCGTAATGAAAAAATGGAGAGAAAAAAGCAGAACAAACAATACACACACGTACGATGTGCACGCTAAACAGTCTCAGAGATATTTCCATTCCTAGAGCAACGCTATCAACGTCATCATCTTCTAACAACATACATAGAGAGACAGCATGCAACGTCTCAGACAAAACTTCCGTGAGCATCACCCTTCTACAGTGTATCTGTCGCAAACCCAACAACGTAGCATTACATGTTACTTTTAAGTCACACGGCGCACGCTGCAGCCACAGACATCGCACAAGCAATCTTTAACAACGAGAGACAACATCGTAAAATATCATCACATTAGACATACGAACACCAATCGATGGTAACACGTATTGACGTAAGCTAATGATTAATCAACATCGAAAATCATAACAACACATCGTAGCATTTAAACGGAAACGCCAAATAAATAACAGTCAAATGAGGAGGAGTTTCATCGCAACAGGGTTCTACCAATGCATCCATGGCGGAGAGAAGGGCTACACAGCGTAGAGCTAATAACAACAAGCACTACCTGTGCAGCCTGTCGCAGAGCAAAGGGTGACATAGGTAGAGTGATAGCGACTGTGGCGGGGCATGAAATGTGAAAGCTGGATGAGAAGGTGACTGTGTCTACATAGTCAGCCAGCACGCCTGCACGCTAGACTCACAGTATAGGCGTGAATATATGAAATAACAAACTAACACCAGGAATACATGATAAACATATGGTTACTACGAAGATGCACACGAAATATAGTATGGCGCACTTGTTATTATGTATTCCTGCGAATATACGAATAACCAAGACCTGTATACATACGATAATAACACTCGCATTACACCCAAACCTGTTATACACGAAAACCCCCCAAAATTGTCCTGTATAGCCAGGTGGCCGTTCTATAGAGGCAATTCTACTGTATAACTGACACAGAATCACACAGTGTCCGTTATATGCAGGTGTCTACTCTACGCAACTGGTTTCGATCCCAAAAGCAAAAGCGTCCTTTACAGATAAACGTCTGTTACATATCTATAGGTAGCTTCACTGATGAACTGCCGATTCAAGGCACAGCCAGTGGCCTTTATAGACAGGTGTTTTATTTTATAGATGTGTCAACTAACACAGGTTTGACTGCATGTCACAATCCTGCGCGCCAAGGTGCGCACTCCACGCATCGAGCGCACGTGACAACACAGCCAGCCACCGACACGGCGAATACATGAAACTATACCGCGCGCAAAGTCACTTAGTGTTCGATATATTCAGAAGTAGATCACCTCCGATGGTTCCCTATTATCGACGTCTGATATATTGCAAGTGATTGATTCGTTAATGACAATTTAACTACCATCGGAGTTTCACGCGACGAAAAATTAACGCAAAGAAACTCTGCCGTCGCTACATAGCTATACATTCCCATGACGTCGCAGTAACCGCCCCTAACCTACCTACATAAAGACTGCCACTCAAAGGCAAAGGAATAATGTTAAAGCACCTTGGAACTCTAACGCGCGCTCCCTCAACCATGCTCCGCAACAATGGCACTCACCTAACGTTGTTCCACAAGCAGCAAACACTAGACAACACACTGCACACGTACGTAACATACAATAACGCAAACTCGTGCATAGTGGTGTGTGGGGGGGGTAGGGGAAGGGTGGTGGGTGGGAGGAGGAATTCGTGATATGCATTATACATCACCCCGGTTACAGCAACTGCGACACGACTCTCTTGATTCCGTATAAAATAGCACGTACACACTGGCTGTCTCACATACAGGCACAATATAACGTCGCCAGTGCACTATGAACATGTATTTATATAGTACAAACATACGCACACACACGTGCACGTGCGTGCATTGCATATAAATGTGTATGTACATATAAATGTGTATAAAAGTGTGCAGTTTATTTATGCAACTCGCTGTACTCGCCTTTCCCAGTCGTAAGCTTATAGGTTACGGCTGTGCAAAACTCAAGCAAACTCAACTCAAATCATTGCAAAAGATTACCAACTGATGCTCTGTGAAATGACAATAATTTGCCCAGATGTCATTTTCATAATTTGCCCAATTCGCCCACAACGCAAAGGATGAGAGAACTCAAGTGACTAAGGAGAGAGAAAGAGAGAGAGAAAGAGAGAGAGAGAAAGAGAGAGAGAGAAAATAGATATATTATATAGAGGAGAGAGAGACGAGAGAGAGAGAGAGGGGGGGGAGGAGGTAGGGAGGTAGGAGGTAGAGAGGGCGGGAGAGAAAAGAGAGAGAGAGAGAGAAAGAGAGAGAGAGAGAGAGAGAGGTGGAGATTGTGGGGAGAGTGAGAAAGAGAGAGAGAGAGCGAGTGAAGGAGAGAGAGAAAGAGACCGAGAGCATCAGAGGAAAGATAGAGGGGCATCGCATAACTTTCCTAAATATACCCAATGGCAAAATCTCGCAACAGGTCTGAAGATAGTTCTCCCAACAAGAGGAAAAACAGAAAAATGTGGTGCCATCCTGTCAGAAACTTGCTTTCACAAAGCAAAGTCATAAACTTAAACCCCTATGACTCAAGGACAAAGATTGAAATATATAGATGTAAATTGCGAGAGATTGTGACATTAGAGCAATCGTAATGGACACGCCCGAGCTGCAATCTCACGAGAAGACTGTACTCTACAATTTATATGGTATTAAATAAGCAATAATAAAATGTTCTGCAATACACGTTCATATTTACACAAGCCTGTCGGTTTTATAAAGCCGCGTTCTGCCCGCAATCATACAACCCTCGTATTTACATATTGGACCATTGCCAAATGTTTGCGACCGTACTACCCAGCATTGCTTTAACGAGAGATTGTCGCGGATCAGGCTTTGATTAGTGGATCAGGCTTTGATTAACTTCTCACGGGTCGTGCTTTTGAACTACGCTGTCATCCAAACACATGCGAATTTACAAAATTGTGTAAAACGGGATGCCACGACCAGTGACTGACCGCTCACATTGCCACGTTTCATTTTAGAATGTAAATTGCGATACATTTACTGCAACCCAAATCTGCCGGCTTCAATCGAAATACCTTTCAACAAAGCTCCTCACATAATTGTCAGCGTGCACCTCTCGATGCCTATTTGCATAAGCCTTCGCTACAAGCTAAAATCGACCCTAACGATCTCCGAGATGACGTCATCACATTGACGTTACACTCTCCGCATCGCAAATGCGAAAACTTCAAAAGGCATGAGCCAGAACCCAAACACACGTTATTTAATACTCGAATCTTGCCCCCGTATCTTAATCATAATCCAAATCCCATGACCTATCCGGCAACCTTCACAGAATTTTCGCCCAATTTCGAGAGAGCACCAACCGGTTCACCCAGCAGTTTATTCAACATATGCTCGTGCACTCCAGCCACTGTTCTCTCGACGGTGGCTGCATCATAGCTGAAATCATCCACAGCAAACAGCGACCAATGGGAAATCATTTAGCAGAGTTTGCAATGCTGCGGTCGAGCGGTTGGGTGAAGGTGATGACACCAACGACAAGATAGAGGTTGGGGAATTCAATCTCCGTTCAAAATTGTACCCTGCTGTTCTGAGCACACTGAGAGTGAAAGCTCCAGGATTGACGGTTGCATTCACCAGTACATTACGTGTGGTTATTACCAAACAGAAATTCGTCCATGGCCCCGGCAACACTGCTTGTCAATACATACCTAAGTTGTGCTAGGCATACGCGCAAGACAACCACTTCTAACCTGAAGCATTGTACTTGCAAAACTAACAATGACGAACGTGACAACTTGAGATAAATAATCCGACGATCAAATTCCACGCACCAACACTTTAGCCATCGAAAAACCATGACTCTCCCATTTTCAGCGCAAGTCGCTGGAAGCTAAATTGGTGTATTGTGACTATATCGTGAGAATTTGCTGTGATGGGAAAGTGTAGCAACATTTCAAAGCCGGCAGTGAATCAAGGAGATGGCAGTTGACATGTAAGAACACATGGAATCGAAAGAAGATCCAATCAGCAGATGAATGCGTCCTTGTCAAATCTAACAAACCAAATCGCAATCAGTTTTAATTTTACAATACTAATTCAATGGATCACGTACTGGTCTGGCATAAGGATCAATGGTCAAGTTTGAATAATCACACGTGTCAATACCAGTGAAGTATTATTGACGTGTCACCAATGCTTTCTTCCACTTCCACGCTACACTGTCTGTGAAGTGATGCAACACACAATACGCGATGGAGCTCGGCTAAGTCTCAAGGTGAACCAAACATCGTCCACTCATCCCCGACACTCAAACCACAGATCAAATTGTAGAACGGTTTGTTACTGCCACCCCTGTCCTCGCGACACTAGCAACAAATCACGACGTTCGTAAAAAACAAGTGCACGTGCACATGCAACCTGCGGTCGTAGCTGTCCAGCAGGGGGCGCTCACAGCAGCTGGCACTTCCAGGTGGAGCTTTTTTTCTGCGGTTCGTTCTTCTTTAGCTGCGTGCCGCCTCCTTTGCTCGGATGCGACGCCTACTCAGAGATAGAAAATACACAATCAGACATGCGACTACTTGTTTGCACGCAAGCATTCACTTGCGAATATCATCACTAAAGCCCACAACACACTCACAAGTTGTGCGTGAACATCTGCACGTTCTATGAAGTAGAGCAATGCTTTGTTGGGAATGCATAGATTTTAGGGGCAATAGAAATCATAGCAAATATTGCACGCAGGAAAGCAGTGTTACAGCATGTTCAACATATCTTTTGCATGAAAATTAGCAGCTAAAATGAGCATACGAGATACAAACTTAATGAAAAACGAGTTTTTAGATGATACTAAGAGATACAGATATTGAACGAAATGCGGATATAACAGAAATACTTACAAGTTTGTTTTCCATCTTGGCCTTGATATCCCGGGCTAGGGTAAAGAATGCTTGCTCTACGTTGATTCCAGCTTTAGCCGACGTCTCCATGAATTTCACGCCATATTCGACTGCCAACTGAAAAAACGTGGTTAAAAGTAAACTCACTGCACAGCAAACGCAACATGCAAAATCTTGCATCACTACTGCATTATTTAATGACCCAATGGTTAACTACTACAGAGACAACCACAACCGGCTTCCTTGGCCCGAACTTGCGCAATTGACTTCGACCACGAAACATCGAAGTTTGAGTTACGACAGGGTCGGGTATATTTATAAGGTTACACCAAAATTTGCACGGCTTTTTCAATCTCGTAACTGTACTGACACGATGAGAAAAGGTTCACGTAAAAACTAATGTCGAGACTAAATAGATTTCTGGTGACAGCTCCCTGATGGGTATTCACGCAGGCGCGTGTAGGGCAGACGATTGAGGGGCGAAGACATCATTGGAGCATGATCACACACAGGGAAAAAATTAAAATGTATTTTTCGGGGGCTACTTTTTAACCTCGCGTGCATAAAAATAGCACTCTAAAATTTGGTTTGCATTGAACTGTATGCAAATTTACGGAGGCTCTTTTTGGCATTTCGGGGGCTAAATCGCCCCGAGCCCCCGTGTATTTTTTTTACTGATCACACACCTGCTCTCCTCGTTGCCTTGAGACGCCCCGTCTGTCGTCACAGTCACACTTGTTGCCGAGGATCATCCGTTCAACGTCAGACGACGCATGCTGCAACACACAAACACATCAGGCATCGAATTTGGCAATTTGCCTCTGACAGCAAGTAAGGCTGCTACTTGCTGTCAGAGGGGTGTCAGAGGCTGTGCCCTCTGACAGCAAGTATCAACACTCTGACGGCAAATCAATATGTTCCGGCGGCAAATGCCGTCAGTTGCCGTCGTAAAATTCAATCCCTGCACATGCGCTCAGGGTGCGAAATTAACGCAAGTCCGGAGTCAAATACGCCCCGATTTACTGTCGGACTCTCTGATTTGACATATGTAGGGATCCGTGTGACTCCATGAAAATTCTGCTATATACTAACTAGCGGACTACTCCTCGCGGAATTACCGTATTTTTCCCAGCTTTCCCAAAAGATTTGCCACACGTGCGACCGCATAAAGCTTCAAAATAAGCACATGCGTTATTGTTAATATCTTTAGTTTTGAAATTCAGACTGCGGACTCCTTCATTTTGCTGCGGACTCCCTCTTTTTGAGGACAGGGAGTCCGTTGGACTTCCTTGTTCAAAAGTTAATTTCTACCCCTGTGCGCCAATGATCTACCTCGCCGACTGCCATAGCCGGAGTTATTGGAAGTTACAAGTACGTAACCTTACCACATACTCCCTATTAGTTTGCATAATTTCACTGCTGAAAAACTCAATTGAAAATCATCGGCAGTTTTTAGCAGTTGCTGGTAATCCGAATCACAACTGCCGAGACTGGGTGTCACACATCTCTCCGTGTCTGCACTTAGAAGTTCCACGCGCATTCTCAGCCTTATGCAGACTCCGTATTTCATTCTTGTTAGAAGACACGGGACACTTTTGGACACAACAGGAAGGTTTGTTTGCAAAACTCTTACTATAATCGTTAGGTGACACAGCGTGTAAACCCAGAATGAATTTAAAGTTGGGAAGTTGATGAACAACAATTTAAGAAGTTTGGTTTGTAAGATAACGTGCATTAAAATTAGACAATTAAATATTAATTTAGCTGTAAGGTAATATACACTTCTAAACGCCACAAGGTGTTGGTTATTCTAGCCAACAGTATGGATCAGATAGCCATTTAAAATCTCTTTTTAAATTAATAATTTTAATCTTTTATTTTAATTAATTTAAAATTATTTAATTTAAATTAATAATTTTAAGCTCTTTTTAAAATAATAATATGAAATCGTAAAATAATAACAAACAGAAAATAAATGGCAATAGCACACGCCATTCGTACAATGGTCGAGCAGGACAGGGTGAGCGACCACAGACGACAATTTAGCGATGAAGAGAAATTCACATAAAAATCTGTATGATATGCACTACAAAATCAATTACCTAAGTTAATCATTATAATTTATGATTTTTAGATGTTAACCGACTCATTAAAGGTCGCATACAATCTCGACTGATTTTGCAGAAACGTTTTACAGGTACGGTACCTCTTCAATGTTCCTGATCCAATTCTTGATGTTTTCAAAAGATTTCTCATTAGTAATGTCATAGACTAGCATGATACCCTGCAATTGTAACCACATTCAAATTACATGCAAATTAACATGAAAATCAATACAGAACAATTTGCACAGGTCCTTAATACAGATACACTCTAATTTCACACGTCTGCACACCATTACTAATGTTTCGTGTTCCGCAATGTCTTGTATTATAGGATGTACAGACATTTTCATTGGCCTTTCGGGAACAATGCCGATTTTATTTGCTTATAAATTTCTGAGTGGCCAAGCATGCTGAACGACATCAGAGTGAACCTTAGAAGTAATTGACTCTTCTTCACTGCATTACGTATGGCAAGTGTAACATTCTGTCACACCCATTGAACCTGCGTCGAGTTCGAACATTTCGGTACGCGAGTCGTCAAACTCACTGACATGAGGCAGGTTGGATGTGAGGTTTCACGGGGAATCGAGTGTGAATGTGAGACCTACCATGGCTCCTCGGTAGTAGGCAGTGGTTATAGTACGGAACCTCTCTTGTCCAGCAGTATCCCTACAATCAACAAACACCATGTAATACCTACGTGAACGTGTACTCTACTACACGTACAAGACTATACTCGGTGAAAAAGTCTACCGGCAAGTGGTAATCTACCAAGTAGATCTACCTTACCTGGTTCAGAAATGTGTTATTTTTTTTACCAGGGTGTACACCACATAAATGCCAATATAAGGTTTTCATAGATCGTAGCTGGGTTAACACAAAACCAACTAATTCATGCTGGTGTGTGTTCTGATGATGATAAATTAATATGCAAAGATATTCAGTTGACTATTTGTGTGTGTATCCGAGTATATAGTGGTGCGATTGGTACTTCTACAGAAATTCTTTGATAGATGCACTTACCATATTTGTAGTTTTATCTTCTTGCCATCTAATTCTATTGTTCTAATCTTAAAATCTATTCCTGCAAAGAAGAAATAACATACTGAGATTTGTGAAGCGAAGTGGGCAGCTTCTGCAGGAGTGACTGTTGTGTTAATGACCTTGGAAACATGAGGCTCTCCATGAAAGGACGTGATTACTTTATGGTTTATGGTGTTAAGGGTTTATATGTAAATGTGCAAGAATGGATCAATGAAGCAACCGTCAACAAATTTATACGAGAAAGGCCATGAAAGCTCTCTGAAATAATTACTTTAAAAAAGGTTAAATGCATTAAATAATAATAAACCTGCACAATACTGAGGAGTGTTTAGGAAAGGTACTATAAACAGATTTCCTTCCCAAAGATCATTTCATAGATGTCCGCGATACAATGCACTTTTAAAACGAGCATAACTGGTTAAAGTCCATGTACAGTGTAAATTAAATGGTATGATTTATAGCCATTGACCCACTATCTCCTATCTCCATGGTTTCACATCATAAACAGCTGTCAGACAAGCCAGCTATTCCAATTTCCATGTGTAATACTAAAGCCCGGCGCACATTGCCGAACATTTTGCTCAAAAACATTATCGTAGCAATGTTCCATGAAATGTTCGGCAATGTGCAGTGAAAAAAGTCGCCGAACATTTGTTCTGAACAATGTTTCTGAAGATCGGAAATGTTTGATATCTCAAACATTGTTCGTCGAATGTTTGCCAATGTGCGCTGAATGTCGAACAATCCTAGGAACATTTGTAAAGTAGTAACCAATAGCAGCACGATATGTGGTCACATAATTTTGTGTACAATATGGCGTCTGCTATATCGCTGCCAGAAGTGTGGAATTTTGAAAAGGAAGAGATTATGGTCGAAATGTGGGGGCAGCAGCCCTGTATAAAATTAGTAAAGTTGTTAAAATTCTCTTGTGCAAACTGGGCATCGCCATTCACGCCGATCACGTGACTCTTTACAACACAGCTACTAGACGACGCCACGAAGTTGTTCGCTGGAAAATGTTCAGCAATGTGCGCTCAGCAATTGTTCACCTGCACATTGCCAGACAAAAACATTTGTTCGGACAAACATTTGTTTGGGAAAATGTTCAGCAATGTGCGCTCAGCAATTGTTCACCTGCACATTGCCAGACAAAAACATTTGTTCGGACGAACATTTGTTCGGGAAAATGTTTGGCAATGTGCGCCAGGCTTACACCCAATATATTCTACAATGCATACAGCTGTACCTCACCCTTAGGAGATCTATATCAATGGCTGAACTAGAAGGCTCTTACCTTATGGGCCACCATTCAATTACCGAATTAAGCTGTAGCTGTTAAACAGTAACTCAATAGCTGAATGTGATGTTAACTTACCATATATCTGATAAGGCCTCAAGATTGCAAAAGCTTATACTGCAAGTGCATGAATAAAATAAAAAATAATTTATCTAGTTTTTGCAAAATTAAATTGATCACATTAATTATGTACATACACAAGGTGCACTTTAAAGTACTAACTAGACAGAGGGCACTCACGGAGAGTGCATACCTCCGCGAGCATGTAACATGTATGTGCTCGCTGGTGGCGGCTGCTGACTGACTCGCCTGCTGCTGCCTCGCCGCTCACTGGTGGCTGCTGCTGACTCGCCACTCGCTGACTCGACGCGGCTATCGATCGCGCCGCCCGCTCGCGTGACTGGCGACGCGCTATCGGGATCGGCGGCTGTGGCCAACACACGCACGCACGCACGGCACGCACGCACGTCAACGCGACGCACACACACACACACACACCACAGCACCACACAGCCGGCCACTGCACACGACGCGAGCGGATTGCATGAACCCTCCGTTTGCGCGAGGTAACAAGGGCATGAGCAGGTTATATACATTCAAGGCTACAACGTTTCAATTGAGTTGGATATCAGTTTTATATTGTTACCTGCAGCAACATGATAGCGTGTTCTAGCTTTAACCTAGCAACATAACGTGTTACCTTAACACAGCGCACATCGCAACGTGTTTAGCTGCTTAACCCAGCAAGATGAACGTGTTCTAGCTTGAACCAGCCACTATAAACTCAAACTCAACTCACTATAAGATATTGCTACAATTGGCGTCCATTTAACTATTGTATGCAAATTATTGTTGTGAGCTAACATCTGAACTTTGTTGTATATAGCTCTGCAGTATGGCAGACCGAAGGTGAAGTAAACTGTAAAAAATGCTTGTGCATTTTTGTTCTTCGAGTGAGCCCAACTTTTGATTCCGGTTTTCCCGTCTCCTAATCAAATAAGCATTTTGCAATTTAAAAGTTACATAGCAATACAAAATGGGTAACCTATACCCAGCAACACAGCAGCAACAGTTATGCAGCAGTACAAGTGTATTGGTTACTGAATAGGAATTAGGCTACAGTGTAGACGGGTTGTTGTGTCGGTAGGGCGTGTCATTGGTATCAAAAATTATTTCGATTCGATTATTGAATATATTTTTTTTCGATATTCGATCGCGATTCGATCCCGATTTCGATTTAATAACTATGTACATAAAACATGAGCCGTGAAAAGTACAGTAAACTCATGATGATGTTACTCACTTATGATAACTATTGCATTTATAATCTGCTCGTGCGTTAAATACACATGGCGAAGTATATATTTATCTGAATCCAACCAGATTGAGCCTGGCGGTCGCGGCGAATGGGCGAAGCAGCAGACATGCTTTTACGGTAGACAGATTTTATTATAGAGATCAGTGAGACAGGATACGCACCAGAGACAATAGAACACCACAGTTATTGATTGTCTCTGTATGCATGCGCCCTGGACTACTTCCGATAATGGCGGCGCTCAGTCAAAAATGCTACCGATGCTTCGCTGGCTACATTTTAGCAAAAAAAAAAAAAAAAATCGGATCGCTATTTTTCGATTTATTTCGATATCGATATCTTACGCATCCCCATCGCGATTTATCGATGAGGTGGGCTTCGATGACAGTCCTAGTTCTAGGCACTGATCGTTATACCGCACAGGCGATATTGTACCCCTCCCCCCAATAGGTGTCACTAGACATGCGTCTAAATACAGGAATTGCTCCGACTTGTAATTGGAGGATAAAAATTGAATTCGTGACGTTTTGTTTTCATTTTGGCATTTTGCCTACGACTCGAGCATGAACGATACCGCGCGTACATATTTGCTAATTAATTAAGCTAATCGCCCTTCAATAAACTCAAAACTCACAGGTATCATAGCTAAGACATGTGTCTATAATACTAATAGCTAGAATTTATAGCAATGTAACTCAAATCGTTCACGCCATATGATAGTTAGTACACTTTCCTACCAGCCATAGCCACGCGTATGTTAGCCTATGAGCAATATCGCGCACACATATTTGCTAATTAATTTGACTATAATCGCGCTTCAATAGACTTAAAATTCACAGAGATTAAGGCTAAGACATGTGTCTATAATAGCTAGAATTTATAGAAATGTAACTCAAATCGTTTGCGCCATATCAGTGCTTGACACTGGGGGGCCACCAGAAATTTATTTCTTCTGGCCCAAAATGAAAAGTGGTAGCCCAATTTTCCATTGGTACTTCTACCATGACGTACAACGGTACATGACTTTAGGATCTACAAACTTGTCACATTGGACACAAAGCCACATTTGCAAATTGCATGCCACATTTGCAAAAACGCATGGGCACATATGGAACCAACGCTAACACGGCGACAGGTTATAAACCAGCATTATCTCCCTTTACATAGGAAAGCCGTGTCCGCCGAGTGTTGCGATAAATCGAAATCTGAGCACTTGTTTTGCGCTGTGTTAACGCCGAACAGAAATTGTACTCGCCCAACGATTTTATTTTGGGCCTGTAATATTTTGTTTTTTGTATTTTTTAATCGCCCTGCAGAGGTTTTGGTCGCCATTGGCGACCGGGCGCCCGGCTGTGTCGAGCACTGCATATGATACAGGGTTCGACACTAACCCACGTCCGACGACCTAGTCAGGGTAAATGCTTGGTCCGGTCGCATACAACCAGAGTGCTAGTAGCCCGACTGGTCGTGTTAGAATTGGTCATATATATTGCACTGAAATGTCACCTCTGGCTAGACTGGTTCACGGCCACACTGTTTGTCGCAGAGAGTGTACATTGTCTAGCAGAGCGTGAGGCCGGATACCAGTCTACCCTTCAACAAAAACAATAACGTGGCTTGCTGCCAGCTGCAGTAGACAATCGATAAACCGTGCGCTCGTGTATGCCCGTGGTAGAATACGAATGCTGCACGTGAACTCGGCCCAGGCGCAATTTAAAGTGCGGGAAACAGCATCTATGAATTCATACAATGACACACTCTTATCTAAATAAAGTTTTTCATAACAATGTCAATGGTCTGGGTCTGGGCTAGTGAAAGTAACAGGGCTAGTGGTTTTCCTCAGTTACTAGCCCGATGGTCTAGTGAAATAAAAAGTTAATGTTGAACCCTGTGATAGTTAGTACACTCCAGGCCCCTCCCTATGTTGCGCAAACCGGGCGCGCCCGCCCCGTTTGGGAAAACTCCCCCCACGTTTCAATCGTTGCGCCCCGTTTAAATTACCTCCGCCCCGATTAAATTCCACCACAATAAAAGTTTGACAGCGCGGGAATCGATCGTCAAGAATTCCCATTCGACCCGGACCACCGCCGCGTGCATTTTTACCGTACCACTAATGCGTAAACGTCCTACACTAAGCATGAACTGCAGACCACACACAAGTACAAACACCCACCCTGTCCCAAACCCTAACACTAATTGTAAACCGACTCGGCTATCTTATATACAAGTACACCAAATACCGTCTATGGTGTGGTGGCAATTTTACGCATTACGGTAAAAAAACACGCCCCCCGGACCCCCCCTAGTTTCCCCTCCTTCTCCCCCTCCCCCTGTTTCAATTTCATCCTGGGGAGAACCCTGCACTCTCCTACCGGTCATAGCTAGCGTATGTGGCGGGGTATGCAAAAAGGAAAACGAAATGTCACGAATTCTATTTTTATCCTCCAATCACAAGTCGGAGCAATTCCTCTGTTTAGACGCATGCGTCACTAGGCACAATCCTAGTTTAGCACCCCGGATTAGTTTAATGCTTATGCGAAAACACATTTATGAGGCCCCAAACTAGGATTGTGCACACCAGGTCTATGGACTGAGTCACAGTGAGTGTATGCCAGTATGGAACTATGGTACAGGACTACAGGTAGCCCCAAAATTTACTTAAAAGTTAGGCCGTAGCTACGCGTCCGGACATCCATCTCACACAGTGATCTTGCGACACGTACACGCATGATTGCGTAACGGGATGCTCTGCTGATTGCCCAGTGTGAGTGTGTGTGTGTGTGTGTGTGTGTGTGAAAGAGAAAGAGAAAGAGAAAGAGAAAGAGCGAAAGAGCGAGAGAGAGAGAGAGAGAGAGAGAGAGAGAGAGAGAGAGAGAGAGAGAGAGAGAGAGAG